TGCAAAGCTAACCTCTGAGAGAGTATCTCTTACAGTTCAATATGGTCTTAGACTTAACCTTCGGTATTCTAATCCTGTTTACACATTACGTTATTGCGCGAAAATGAGTAAACCGTAATAATTATTGATTGATGGTGGGTATATAAGATTCGGCATGGCCGAATATAAATCTCTTACATGATTGCAGTTGATGTTCATGTATACATATTTGCAAATAAACTATATTAAAATTCCAATAATTTTTAGGATTTCATTTAAAAATATAAATTTTTTTCTGTATTTTATGTTCATTTTTTTTGGAAAAATATGTATGAAATTTTATGTGTGGCATTTCATTAAGAGCACTAACAGCAGTTCTATTGTTATACAAATAATATTCTAATGAATTCTTTGTATTTTATATTTTTTAAATATATTGCACATTGTACATCATTGGATTACAACAATTGGAAATAAATGCATTTATAAATAAATAAAATTCAACAAAATCAAATTGCTAATAATATTTAAATAAATTTTAAGTCCTTTAGTGTAAATTAAATAAAAATTATTAACTTCATATTCTCCATACTTTATATGGTTCTGTTCATTACAAACTCTATCTGCTTACATTTAAACTGAAATTGATCAAAATTTTTAATTTATCTTATAACATAAATTGATAAAAATGTTTATAGTGGTTGTTGTTAGGTTCATGAAATACAAGTAAATATGAAAATAATTAATATATAAAAATAAATAAATTTTTAATATAATTTAAAATATTATTTAACTTGTTTTGTATTGTGGTCGAGTCATAACACGTTCGTTTATATAAATAAAATATTTATATGTATATATATATAACATATCGGAATATTGTTTTAATTTAAAAATATTTTAATTTTATAAAGTGCTTAATCAATTATTACAGATTAAAATGTTTTTAATCCATTTTCACAACATTTACATTTCATAAATGATAAAATCATAATACGAATTTGACAACCTCTCAATAGTTAGTTCATTAAGAGGTCAGCCCATTTCTACTGCTTTTAATGTTTACTTTATCACAGCTATAGTTTATAGCATGCAGGGTCAAAATATTTGAAAATTAATCGCTCACATTGTTTTGACGATTTATTGCTAATGTTTTTCATATTTTTATTTAGCTATTTTTCAAACGAATTAGCGTTATCTTATAGAAAAAAGTTCTCAACAGTGGTATTTAGGAGGCTTGGGAGTAATGATTACATTCAATTACAATTACTTGTAATGTGTACACAGACGGAGAAAAGTGGTAGAGAAGTACCGAAATTGTCGTTAGACAACGGATGTGCATTAAGTTATCATTTTGACAACCACAGTTGTAATTTTGACAACACATCGTTGTCATTGCAACGACGCATTATTGTCATTTCGATTTTGTGACATTTCGACAATGCATCGTTGTGATTTCTACAACGAATCGTTGTCATTTCGACAACGCAACGCTTTGTTTGACAACATAGCATTGGTAACACATCATTATTTTTATACCCACCATCGTAAATATATATTTATTGTGTCATTCCTTTTATAACACATCGAAATATTGGTCATAGACCTACAAAATTATATATATTCTGGGTCCTTATTATACCCACCATCAAAAAAGATGGGGGTATATTGATTTTGTCATTCCGTTTGTAACACATCGAAATATTGGTCATAGACCTATAAAGGTATATATATTCTGGGTCCTTATTAAATTCTAAGATGATTTAGCCATGTCCGTCCGTCTGTCTGTCTGTCTGTTTGTTGAAAGCACAATAGAGTCCGAATGGAATGAGCTAGAGGGTTGAAAATGTTCTCTATAGATAAGGTTTGTTTGGTATTAAAAATGGGCAATATCGGTCCACGTTTTCGGATAGCCCCATACAAGTGGACCCTCGAAAATCAACTTTAACGGGCATATCTGTTTTAAAAGTACGAGTATAGCGATGAAATTCGAATTCATGAATTCATATGATCCTAAATCTTCCTACCAAATTTTATGAGGATCGGTCCCCCTCGGAAAATCACTATAACGCTCATTACTGGCTTAAAAATAAGAATTCGACACAATTAAGTTTCATGAAAGTCAAAATCTCTCTTCCACATTTTATACGGGTCGGTCCGTAATTGACCCTGCCCCCATATAAGGCCCCCTTCAAAAACTTACTTTAACGCTCATTACTGTCTTATAAATACGAGTATAGCAATGAAATTTGACATAATTAAATCCCTGACGAGCCAAAACCTCTCTATTACATTTTATGTGGATCGGTCCATAATTGACCCTACCCCCATATAAGGTCCTGTCCAGATAAATAGTTTAACGCTCATTACTGGCTTACACGTACGAGTGTATAGATGAAATTTTTTACGAGCCAAAAGCTAAGAACCTTTTATGCGAACGTAAATCTTTCTACCGGAAAGTATCGAGAACTGATATTCGATTAAAACATGTTTTATATAAACCAAAATCGGTCTAAAAAAATTATGAAACATTTTATAAAAACGGTCAATAATTTACCCTACCCCTCATATAAGGTTCTATCAGTAAATTTGAAAAGTAATATCACCCTGATGTTTATAGAAGAGCATTCCTTTTACGGCATACGGTTTGATGGTGGGTATATTAGATTCGACATAGCCGAATATAGCACTCTTACTTGTTAAATTTTAGCTATGTCTGTCCGTCCGTCTGTCTGTTGAAAGCACGATAAGGTCCGAACGGAACGAGCTAGAGGATTGAAAATTTCTACAAATATTTTCTATAAGTAAGGTTTGTTCGGCATTAAAAATGGGCAATATTGGTGCACATTTTCGGATAGCTTCCATACAAGTGGACCTCCCAAAAACATCTTTAACGGTACTACCTGTTTTCAAAGTACGAATATAGCGATAAAATTCGACATAAATGAGTTTCATATGAACCAAAATCTCCCTACAACATTTTATGTTGATCGGTCCTACCCTCCAGAAAATGACTTTAACGATCATTACTGGCTTAAAAATACGAGTATTGTGATGAAATGCGACACACATAAGTTTCAATGAAGCCAAAATCTCTCAATCAAACTTTGTGTGGATCGGTCCATAATTAACCCTACCCCCACATAAGATCCCCTTCAAAAAATTACTTAATCGACCATTACTGGCTTAAAAATACGAGTAGTGCGATGAAATTCGACCCAAGTAAGTTCCTTGCGAACCAAAATGTCTTAACCAATTTTTAGGTGGATCGGTCCATAATTGACCTTACCTCCCATATAAGATCTCCTTCAGGTAATTAATTTAATACCCATTACTGCCTTAAAATTACGAGCATAGAGATGAAATTCGACATAAGTAAGTTTCTTACGAGCCAGAACCTGTCTACTGACTTTTATGAGAATCTGCATATGATTGACCCCCCCCATGAACTAAAATCGGTCTAAAAGAATTTATGAAAAACTGTCAATAGTTAACCCTATCTCTCATATAAGGACCTCTTCAGTTAATTTGATGAGTAATATCACCCTGATGTTTATAGGGGAGTATTCGGCCACAGCCGAATATAATACTCTCACTTGTTTTTTGTTGATTTGATAATCAATTGTTGGCTTGACAACTATTCGTACATACTTGGACAACGGATGTTATTAAAAAATTATAAACTCTTTGGTGTCAATTTGGTAACAGGCGTGTACAATTTTAAAACGTCTTTTTTCCCTCTGTGTAATTAATAGGGTGATCGAGTCGATTTTTCAACCGGTTTTTTCTGCTTTACCAGTGTCGGTTTTTTCTAAATGTTGATTTTTCGAATATCGAATAACCCGGTTTTTTCACTTTTTAAAAACCGGTTTCGAATACTTTTATTTGCTTTGTAATCAAAGATTATTTAAATGAAAGTTTGAAGTAAATAATACAGCCCGTTTAAATTTTAAAAATATTCGAGTCGAGGAACTAGAGTATATTTTTCTACAGCTCTTTTCGTTAAACTTTTTTGATTTTCCTAATTAATTAAAATTATTTGTAAATTGGATAACTGTTTGATAAAATTTAGCAATCTTAAGATTATATTCCAATTACAATAATTAATTTACGGCTGAAATTTTATGGAAGTGTTGGAATGCCTATGCAAATTTCCTAAACAGGGCTTTTAAAATAAGCTAGGATTACATGTTTAACAGAAGTGTCCCACTTTTTTCCTAATTTTTTTTATATTAAAGAAATAATGTAAATCAGACGACTAGATCTAAAGTTATAATCTTTTAAACTGTTAAAAATCATTTCGGGCCATGTTTTATTAATCAAATTTAAAATTAAACATTAAGTTTTTCAAATTAAAATATATTTTTTTAATTGTAATGAAAAACCGGTTAACCGGTTTTTTCTGAATTTGAAAAATATCAACCGGTTTTTTTTAAATGTCAACTATTCGAACTATTCGAAAACCGGTTTTTGGAAAATGTCGAATAATTGATCACCCTAGTAATTAAGCAATAGCCAATTACATTTACAATTACAATTACGAATAATTGAAATTGCTTATGGCTTAATTATAGCTAACATGTAATTGACCATGTAATGAATTACCTTATTTAATCATTACTTTACATACATACATACATACATACATACACATACATACATACATACATACATACATACATACATACATACATACATACATATACATACATACATACATACATACATACATACATACATACATACATACATACATACATTACATACATACATACATAACATACATACATACATACATACATACAATCATACATACATACATACATACATACATACCGTACCATACATACATACATACATACAACATACATACATACAACTACATACATAACATACTACATAAATAACAATACATACATATCATACTACTACATACATACATACATAAAATACATACTACATATGCATGTAATATAATTCTATTAAAATACATTACATGTATATTTTCTTTTATATTTCAGCTCTTGTTACTAATATTATTTGTGAGCACAGTTCTCGCAGATGAAAAAATTGCCAAAGTTGATGATAAGAAAGTTGACGCTAAAAAGGATGTGAAAAAATCGGTTGAGGAGACTAAAGTAAAACTGGAAAAAGAGATTCATCTGATCAAACAGGTGAGAAAGAGTTTAATGAGCTTTTTAATAAAATCACTAACCATATACATTTTAAAGCTGCCTTTGGAGTTAATCTTAATGATCAACCTTTCAAGCCTATGCTTAATAGTCCAGCACCATTTGAAGCTGCAGCTTCGGCAACACAACAGGTATGAAGAATTTGTTTTAAAGCTTTTTATAAGTTCTAAATCTATAAGTAAGAAGAAAATTTATTAAAACCCAAATATAGCGGGTCGAATAGCGGACAAGATTTACATAATTATGAATAGGATCTTGGCTTCTTTAGTCCATTTAATTTTATCATAAGTTTCTGGATGAGATATAAATATCGATTCTATTAAGATCCGCTGAGTAGTAATCTTTCAAAATTATCTTTAAAAGTTCCTTGGGAAACTGCTTTACTATTTAAGTGAATGAGTTAAATCCATATACATACATAATTTCGTTTTCATCCGGATTTAACGATTACATCCAATAGATCCAATTAAATTATGTGCATTATAACTTTCGTATAGTGTAATTTATTTTAATGTTTTCACTCGTTCATCCGGATTTGTAGTGTATTATATATATTTGTGGGGGAGAACAATTTGTATTAATTTTAAATGATGCAACTAATAAATAAATCAATGAATGATATGAAATTGATTATATGAAATTGATAATGTTTTACTTTCCTATTAACCGACTCATTATTTTTCATCATTACATTACCAACATTATCATTATGATTATTATAAATATTTTTTTTTTTTTTGATTTTTTATGAACACAATTCAGCCATAAATTGAATTAAATTTCAGTTGCAATTACTTTTTGCAGAAATAAAATTATTGTATGAAATGAAAGTATTTTGCTTACATACATACATATGTATGTATGTACATAATATGTTTGTGTGTTTTATGTATTTACTAGCATACCCTGGGTGCTTCGCTACCCTAACCAAAATTAAATACATACAAAATTTTGTTTACTTTTATAGAAAATTATAATTGATTGAAATTTTTTTTTAATGTTTCAGTTTTTTACGTTCAATATCACGTGAATAAATTCGCATTCAAGAAGGAGTTTGTATTTTTAGTTTCATTCGTTTAGCTTCCACATTATAGAAAATTTCGAAAGTACTATTTGGTAAAGAGTACTATAAAATACCTCTTATAGATTCTCATTTAATAAAAAATTTTAACCATTATACAGAATTTAAAAGGTACCATTTGAAGAATGGAAAAGTACCAAAGATTACCCACTTACAGAATATTCTTCAGTCAAGACCATGTATGTTAAAATTTATGTTCCTAGGTTGAATATTTTAGAAAATTCAAAAAGTACCATTTATGATATAAAAAGTACTAAAAAGTTCTCTCTTAAAGAATCTTATTCAATGATGACCGTGTATGTTTAATAATCGTGTGTTTTGAATTCATATTATAAAACATACAAAGAAAATGTACCAAAAGTGTAATAAATTCTACCTTAGTGGAAAGTACTAATAAATATAGTAAAATTTTTCCCCTTTTCGCTTAGAAATATACTTCTTCGAGAATTAAGTTTACAAAATGTTCTGTATTTAAATCTATATATCACAGATAAAACTCAAACGATGTAAATCTGCATTAATTTGTTCCAGAAAAATTTTGCTTTTAAAAAGTACCAAACAATTTACTCGAATTTGGTCTTCTATAGGCCTTAGTACTCGAATTCCAAAATAATATACCAATAGCTTATTTTGTGTGAGTAAATAAACTACTTTTTCAAATTTTGTAAAAATTGGCTCAATGAGTTTGAAAAAAATTAAATTTCCCGTTTTCCCCTCTTTGGCACTTTTTTGAAATAGCAAAAATTTTGTTTCAATAAATATTACAGAGTTAGTCCGTAATTTAATAGGAATACTTTAATAAATCGAAAAAGTTTTCTTAATGTGCTAAAAATGTACCAAAAATGCAGTTTTCTCCCTTTTGCACCCAAAAAGGACTGAATTTTAAAAAAGTACGAAACAGGTGTCACAGGTAATTTTGGGAGATATATTCAAAATATTTACAAAAATGTTATTTTCTTTATTAGTTAAATAGTTATAAAGGGCCAAAAAAGGTACCAAAATCACTTTTGTTACACATTTTCACCCATTAAAAGTACGAATTTTAAAAAAGTACCACACACCCATCTGCTTATTTTAAGAGTAGATACAGGTTCATTTAAAAATTTTCTTGTATCACTAATATTAGGTAAGATAATTAAGAAAACCTATTTTACCGGTTTTTTCCCTTTTTTTTACCCCTAAATGTACAAATTTCCAAAAATCTCTCCTTAGTGGATCTACATAACTAAAAACACATCTATTGTCAAAATTTCTTGATTCTAGGTTCAGCCCATTCGGCTGTCAGTCAGTAACGCTACTCTTTTATATACATATATATAGATAGTGGATAAACTGTTAAATTACATTTCATATGAAGGAGTTTAAAAATATTAAAAAAATGTACTTGAAATTTGGTGTTATGGGTTTAAAAGATCTTATATCCATTATCTATGCCGAATAGATCCGACTAAATTCAATGGTCGATGTCATATTGACTCTGAGAACATAAAATGATTGCTGATTACAAAAAAAAAAAAAACAATTACTTGTAATTGTAATTGAAGTAATTTAGGTATCACAAATTACAAATTTCATGTAATTATAAGGATCAAAATTCACAATTACAAATAATTGTAGTTGGAAATTCTTCAATTACATTTACAAGTAATTGTAATTGGCAAAACTTCAATTACAATTACAAGTAATTGTAATTTGCTAACATTCAATTACAAATAATTGTAATTGGTGAAGTTTCAATTACAATTACATACATCAAATGTAATTGTAATTGAAAATGTAATCATTACCCCCCATGCCTGCTTACTAGTTCCTTGCTAAAATTATGGGAGTACAAGATCCGCAACCATGTTGTTATAAAAAAAACATGATCCATGCCTGGATAACATAAACGGACCATCTACTCCAATAATGCTTACATAAGAGTTGTTTGGGATTTTACCCAAATGGATCATGTGTTCCAATATTATGTCCCGATACTTGTTGTACCCTACACCACTATAGTGGGAAGGGTATTATGCGTTTGTGGTGATGTTTGTAACGCATTAAAATATTAGCACTACACCCACCTTAAAGTATACCGATCGACTCAGAATCACTCTGAGTCGATTTAAATGAAATGGTCGAAATCGGTCCATTATTTCACATAGCTGAACCCCCGAAAAGGGGTTTTGAGCTCATAATTATGTATAATATAAATGTATATCGTTGAAAGTTCGCACAACTAAGTTTGAGGACCTTGCCGAATTTCAAAATGATCGGACTTCATTTGACCCTAGCCCCAATACAAAGCCCCTTCAGAAAGTGACTTGAATATCCGTAATTTATTTATTAAAACTGTTATTGCAACGAAATTTAGCAAACACAAATATTATACAAATACAAATCTATCCAGCCCATTTTATCGGGATCAGTCCACATTTGCTCATATATACAACCTCCTTTAGAAAATTAGTTTTTCGTCAATAAATTGCTTAAATAAATCCGAATCAAGGTAATATTCAAGATAAATGCTTTATTATGAAAAATAAATCACAATTAAAATTATAAATTATCATATGGTCGGCCATGCCCGACTATACTTTCTTACTTGTTTATACTTTGTTTTACGGTGTTTTCCACTAATTTTCATATACATACATTGATGTCAAAGTTTTCCCATGTTAAATTTGGGGAACCAATTGCCATTGCCTGTTAGGTGAATATCCCTAAAAATTGTTTTATTATCAAAAAACATACAATTACTGTATGTTTTTTAGCTTCTATTTTATTATTCATAAAGGTCAATTCATATGTAAATTAAGAGAAAAAAGAATTTATATACATACATACATCCATACATAGATATGTATGTATGTATATAAAAATCATATATAATATTTTATAAATCAATACAAATATAAAAATATTCAATGTCAATGAAAATTTGTCAATGTGTTTTTAATCTGTGTGTTTGTGTGTATACAGAAAGATTATCTAAAAAAAAAAAAATATTGTTTGACATTCATAAAGGATCTATAAATTGCAAATGCACAATTTCTGATTAAAATGGATTTTGAAAAATTCAAATAAATTCGATTCAGCGATTATTGATGAATTGACTGGTTGGCTGTGAGTTTTCATAACATTTGAGTGCTCTTTTATTGAAATTCATTAGCTAATGCAATGTAATACCAATTAGGGTGATTTTTATTTTAATAAACTCTTGAGGGATTTTGCAATGCAAATTGACTTTAATTTTTTATTCTTTAAGAGGAATTAAATGTAATTGAGTTAGAAAAAAAAACAATGCAACTGAAATGCAAATTCAATTGAAATAAATTTTTGATTGATTTGAGTGATAGGTTCTTGCAGGTTTTTGTAACGCACACATAAATACGTATACCTCAAAGTATACCAATCGGTTTACAATAATACAGGCCGAAAAATCATTTTCTTAGTCGACTTATCTATGTCCGACCGTCCGTCCATTCGTATGTCCATCCGTCCATCCGTCTGTCCGTCCGTCCGTCTGTCCGTCCATGTAAACTTTGTAATCAAATTACAGGATGCAATTTTAAAGATAATTCAATCGGTTCAATCGTGGTGTAGGGTATAATATGGTCGGCCTCGCCAGGCTACAATTTCTTACTTGTTGTAATTTATAGTTATATTTCTATTGGTTTAGAACAAGAGTACAAACTTATACCCTCACTCCACTATTATGATAGAGTAGGATATAAAAAAGCATTTAAAGCATTAAATTTACTCAAAATTATAGAATTAAATGTATAAAAAAACTTTCATACTTTAAATAAAAATACCACATTTATTTAGACTAAACCACAGTTTTTAAATTATTATTGACCCATATAAAATGTAGATAAATAAATTCAAATTTGTTTAAGAATTTTCCCAAAGATTTCCCAGTACCAACGACTGATTCTTCACAAAAAAAAGGGTTTAAGTGTTAAAACTGTGTAATTTATTTCCTGTCCTGCCATCCTTTTTAATTTTTTTTTCACTTTTAGTGCTAGCAACATGCCATTTATGACTCTATCAAAAGATGGCATT